GCATGTCATCCTTGTGCAGGGGCCATGCTAATCTTCACTGTATCGTCCCAATTTTAGTGCTGAAGTGAGCACTTTAACTTCATCTGTAATTCAGATACAGCTGACTTATATTGAGCACCTATTGTGCACCAGGCACTTCTGTCATAGTCTCTTTCTGTTTCACTCAAGATACCTAAAAATATTTACCTTTTATTTAAAAAAAAAAACCCACTTTGAACCAAAATATATCAATTTATATTATTACAAGCACAAGTTCAAAGGAATCCAATCTGGGAAACAATAAAATACCATTAGTTATTCAAATTATATATGTTTACTTCAGTTTCCTATATCTCATATATTACTTTAAGCAATCCTAAATATAAGCAAATTTGCCATGTAGAGTCTTTCTGGGTATCAAAATAAATATCAATTATTAATGTAATGATAAATGCAGTAGTGCCGCGGAATAGAGTCCACATTGTGTTTGGAGTGTATCCTTTGTTTAAAGCTACTACAGATAGATGGGGTTCTTTTGTGCATGGTCACCATATGAAACAGGAAATACTGCTCTATTCCATTTCAAGGTTCTGAAGATGTGAGCAATGTGAGGCTATTTCTAAGAAATCTCCAGATATTTCTCTTTAACTTTAGTCTCCCTACTTCTTTCAGTGTGTGAATATGGTATTTTTAAGGGTTGCAAAATAAATTAAGTCTAGTCTAGGATTTAAAGTCTTCTTTAAATGCTTGGACAATGGGAACAAGAAAGGCAAGCTCCTTGTGGCCAGGGCTGAGTATGCCTGGTTCATCATTGCCTTGGGCTCAGAGTTCAGCACACTAAACCCAATAAATGATTGGTGAGGACAGTGACCAGAGTCTGGGGCTGCTCCTCCTCTTTTGAAGGCAGCAGCAGAGAGGTAAACAGGTCAGTGTGCAGTATGAAGAGCTGTCACTCAGATCTTCCATTTGCCTAAGGTAGCAGATGATTGGGTTTTGCATGCCTGGTTTACACTCTTCAAATATTTATAGACAGTTCTCTTTGCTTCTAGCCCTACTTGTCACTTAGCCAAGTTATACATACAAGGTTCTTTTAATCTTTTCTTAGAAATCAATCCCACTAAACTCTTTAATCATTCTAGTTGCATTTCTCTCAACTTTTTTTGCTGTTTGTCTTTCTGGTGACTTATTCTGCTGAAATTCATGAAAATATTATGATGTAGACCATTGAGAAGTCTACTCACCTTTCTATTTCAAGGTTCAAAGCCTTTTCTGTGCAAAATAAAATTATTCATCTTCTTTCCTTGTGCACGATGACATTTTAAAAACTTCATATTTAAGGTGACAGATTAATCAATACATTTTCAGAGAAAAATATCATCGGTATTATATTCACTAAGGATGGCCCTGTTATTGATTGAATCCTCTCATGTATCTATAACCACTGATCTAACCTGTGGAATTGAAATGTGCAAAATGGGAATCCAGAATGACATGGCTACATAGAAAGCCTCAAGCGCTTGTTCTAAGGGTCTGACTACTTATGGCTATTTCTCATTAACTCTGCATTTACAATAAAATATATTGAAAGAAAGCAAACATTTTCTGAACAAGACTTCAAGAGTATAGGAAACAAAAGCAAAACCAGACAACTAGGATTACCTTAAACTAAAAGGTTTCTGTAAAGCAAAGGAAACGATCAGAGTGCAGAGACAACCTACAGAATGGGAGAAAATATTTGCAAACTACTCAGCTGATGAAGAGTTGATGTCCAGAATATATAAGGAGCTCTAAAAATTCAGTACCAAAACCAATCAACTGAACAAACAAACCTGATTAGAAAATGAGCAATATATCTAAATAGACATTTCGAAAAAGAAGACATACAAATCAAAACTACAGGGAAACAGCACCTCACCAAAGTAAGGAATACTGTTATGAAAAGACTAAAGGTAAGTGCTGGATATGGAAAAGAGGGGACTTTTGCACTCTGTTGGTAGAAACAGTATGAACGTTCCTCAAAAAATTAAAAAAAAAAAGCCTACCATATAATTCAGCAATCACACTACTGGTTAAATATCCAAAAGCAATGAAATCAGTATGTACTTCCATGATTACTGTAGCACAATCCACAAAGGTAAGATATGAAAATGTAAGTGTCCATCAGGTGATAAATGGATAAAAAATGTGAAAAATATATAAATACTATTCAGCTGTAAAAAAAAATGAGATTCTATCATTTACAGCAACACGGATGGAGCTGGCAATCACTGTGTTAAGTGAAATAAGCCAGACACAGGAAGACAAATGCTTCATGATCTTGCTCATATTGGGGTCTACAACAGTTGATGTGACAGTACTGGAGAGCAGAACGGTGGTCTCAGAGGAAAGGGAGAGGTGGGGGGGGTTGTGGTGGGGTGGAGGAAGGTTGCAATCACCCACCGTGCAGTGGCATGCTGGGATTTCTTATTCCTACTCACAGGTGGATAGGAGTACGAAGTTCCAGTGCACTACCACTGCACAATGGGGTGACCATAGACAACAAAGATGTACTGTACATTTTTGACAAGCCAGATGAAAGGATTGTCAAAGTTTTCATCATAAATAAGTGATAAATATTTGATGTGACAGATACATTTAACATTGGGCTAGGGATGTAACTCAGTGGCCTAGAGTTTGCCTAGATACACAAGCCATGGCCTTGATTCTCAGCAACTTCCTGCCCCTAAAGATATGCTTAAACATTATCTAATATACACATGTCTTGAAACATTACATGGTACTTCATTAAATATGTACAACTTTTATATATCAGTTAATATAATTTTTATAAAAATTAGAAGTAAACTTTTTGCCATTATAAAAGTTACCTATTCAAGAAGAATTCAAATAACCTGAAGTGGGGAAAATTACCTATGACCTACAACACAAAGACAAACTTCAGCACGTTTTAGTTATTATTTTTTAAACTTACAGATAAAATTGTATGTATTTACCACATATATCACGTTTTTCAGTGTATATATAATATGGAATGACTAAATTTAACTAATTCAATGTGTATTATTTCACAGCTATCATTTTTGTGGTGAGAATACTTAACATCCACTTTCTTATTATTTCTAAGAATACAGTATGTTGTGATTAATTATAGCTACTATGGTATACAAAAGATCTCTTAAACTTTATTCCTCCTACCTACCTGAAACTCTGTATCAAAGCTTTGACCAATATCATTTTACACTGCATCCCCAACTACTCAGCCTTTGATAACTATCATTCTGTCTAATTCTATAAAATCAATGTTTCTAGATTCCGCATATGAGCGAGATCATGCATTATTTGTCTATGTGCCTAGCTTATTTCATTATACAATGTCCTACAAGTTCGACCATGTTATTGCAACTGCTGGCAGGCTTTCCTTGGTGTTTTTTTTTGCGGGGTGCAGGCAGTACTGCGGATTGAACCCAGGGCCTTTACATTGAACTATACCTCCAGCAATTTTTATTTTGAAAGAGAGGCTTGCTAAGTTGCCCAAGTTGGGCTCCAACTTGTGATCCTCCTGTCTCAGCCTCCTAGAACGCTGGGATTAGAGGAATAGCCAACCAAGCCCCCTAGTTTCCTTGTTTTTAGAGCTGAAGAGCATTCTATTGTGTATATATATACACCACAATTTCTTTATTCATTTATCATTTGATGACATTTAGGTTGTTTCCATATCTTGGCTATTGTGAATGGTGCTGCAATGAACATGTGAGTGTAAATGTCTCTCCATTTTCCCTTTGTATATAACCAACAATGGACTGCTGGATTATATGGTAGTTCTAGTTTAATTTTTTGAGGAACTTCCATACTGCATTCCAAAATGGCTATATTTAGTATTTTTGAACAACTTCATTTAAGCCTTTTTTATGCATTTCCCCCATGCTATCCATCATACCACTTACATAGTACAATACTTGCCTTTTCACTTCATATTATAACACAAAATTTCATGCATAGTCCTGTCTTCAAACCATCTTTTTTTTTTTTTTTTTTTTTTTTTTTGGTTTTTCTCTGGTACCGGGAACCGAACTCACGACCTTGCGCTTGCCAGGCAGGCGCTTTTGCCACTGAGCTAAATCCCCAGCCCCCTCAAACCATCATTTTTAATGACTACAAATCATTCCATTAAGTAAGTGGGTGGGCCATAATTTTCTAATTCCCTGTAGGACAGTGACAGCAAACCTTTTAGAGCTCTCAATGACACAGTCTGCTGTAACATGTGTGCCATGGGTTCACCCCATCACTGCTATAGGACACTGACATTGTTTCTCTTTTTCCTCTTGTTTGAGTGTTACTATAAACAAGTCTTCCTGTGCTTAAGATTATTCCTAGATTCATAATAGGTGAAATGAATGGGTCAAAGGATACACAAAAAATAACTTTTGAGGTAAAGAACCAAGGTAAGTGCTAAATGAAGTGAAAAATACCATCTAAAGTGCAAAGATTTTGTCTTTAAGCTATGGTGCTAACAAGTAAATGCTCAAATTTTAGAAAGGTACAGAGCCATTGCTAATAAGTTAAATGTAATACCTACTAGTATTGCACTCTTTTATTCACACAAACACAAAATCCACCAAAAAATGTACACATACTTCAGGAAAAGAAAAACAGTATGATGTTTTTTCAACAGATGGTATTGCCCTCATATGGGGGACCCTAGAGGATGTAGTATTTTGCAGAGAACCCACCACACTGCTGGTCCTTAGAGAAGAAAATGAAAATGCATGTGTAGCAATATCAGTGACGAGGGTTACCCAAGCAGCAGTTCACTGTACTAATGTCTGGAAGCTAATGGCCACCGTTTTGTGCACCTCTTGTAATTGTAGAGGCCAACTGTATTAATATCATGATGTCTCAATAAATTTAGTATTAAAATATTTATACAAGTTCTTCTTTTCCTGAAGTGTGTAAGCATTTTTTGGGGCAGACTTTGTATATTGCTGATGGTATAATAATTTAGCTTAAATTCTTAACCTTACCTAGATCTACCATCAGAAGGCGAGTGAGGGCTGTGTAGAAGGTTGTTCGGCATCTGAGGTCACTGAGACTGTAACTGTCATTGATGCCAAGAAAGGGAAAGTGTTCACTCTAATGAAAGTAAAAGAGTAGCCACAGTTACTAATGGTTGACCTAACTATCCAGAAAATTCAAGGCATTAACTAAGGAATTTAGACTTACCGTGTGATTTTTTAGCATGAATTTCACAGCATCTATTTTCACAAGTTTTTTTAAAAGGATATAGGTAATAGAAGTTAAGGAATCTGGGAAAATATATTTGTTTTACCAACACATAATAAATCACAAAATAACACCAAGCTAAAATGGCATTAATTTCTACTTCTGAAGAATAAATATGATTTCAGAGTATTCCTATAGAATACCTTTCATTCTGTTAGAAATGATAATCCATTATTAACCAGTGCAATTACTTTTCCATCTTATACATATTCTAGTTATGGAAAGGAAGAATGAATTTTATAATTAAAACAAGAACTCCTTTACTATTAAAGTCTTAGTGGAAAATTAAAACTGACCCATTTTACATTTTGGTTATAACCTGAGAATTTCTTTTTACTTTGTGTTATTTTATAATAAAATAATTATAAAAGACCCATAATAGGCTATCAAGAAAGAGGGAATTATTGAATTCTAAGAAACGATGAGCTCAGCTGGAAATCTTAGATCAGAATACAGTCAGGAAGATATAGTGGACCGCACACCCTCAAGTGCTGAAGGACAATTTAAAAGTACTAATTTCTCAAGTGTCTATGTGGAAGGCATTTTGCATGTTATTTCACCTAATCTCCACAATTACAATGTTAAATATTATTTATTATTTTTATTTTGTAGAGATAAGAAAACAGAACCTCAGAGAAATTAAGTCACTTTCCTAAGCAAGATTACACAACTATGCACTGATAGCACTGAGATTTGAATTGAGGTTTGATTCTAAAAAACATAATTTTGTAGTGTACCATATTATCACCTGAACAGTTTAAAACTCTGAGAATCAAGGTTGAGCAATTAATTATAAAACAAGAATAGAAGGCCTAAATAATTTCTAGTGTGATGTGGGTCCTAAGCATGTCTGTTTGGTATGCAAAGGCCCTCTTTTCTTACTTTATCATCGTCAAGTGTTTTCTATTGTAGCTATTCCCTATAGTGTTGGTCATGTCTTCTTTTGTTTTGTTTTGTTTTTTTTTTGGGTTTTTCTCCGGTACCGGGAACCGAACTCACGGCCTTGCACTTGCCAGGCAGGTGCTTTTGCCGCTGAGCTAAGTCCCCAGCCCCAAGGTCATGTCTTCTTGAAGACTGTAACATTTGCACATCACTCCATTTATGTTACAATGAATACCGACTCTGCTCTGTCTCATCTCCAAATTTACAATTCTGTTAAGTTGCCTCTGTACAATGGCACTGAAAGGCCTAATTTTGAATTTTAGTTACTCCAGTATGGGTGTAAGAGAGTGAAAAACACACTTGAACACAAGTTAGGAAACGCAGGCTCTCGATCGCCTACATCATTCAAAACAGCTGGATGAGTCTGAGTAATAATATACTCAGCCTGTCTGAACCTCAGCTACCTCTCCAACAAATAAAGATGAAATCTATGCTGAAGCTAACTTCCAGGATTGTCTTAAAAATCAGATGATTCAAAGATCTAGCCAATTATAAATCAGGAAAGAAAACAAAAAGATGCAGAGACTTTATATAATGTCTACTATCTGTAAAGCTAATTCTCACAGTTCTATGAAATAGGCAGTATTATACTTATTTTTCAGATGAGGATACATACTAAAAATAAATAATGAATAACTTTCAAAAAGACAGACAATTAGTATGATTTAGAGTGAAGCCCTTCTGGATCCAAAGTAACTGTTACAGTTGCATATTAAGCATTCATATTTGGCTCACCTTAGCTTTTCTTAGACTATAATCTTTCTAAGGGCAGGGGGTGCATCTATTCATTTTGCTCAGTGCTTTGCTCATGTTGGATAGTCAATACATTGTGTTCTTTTGACAGACTAAAGGCCAACAAGATCAAAGCTGAGAGGTAGCAGGTTTTCTCCCGTCTAAAGATGGTGGATTTGATGATTTTCCAAAATCATCAATCACCAAGCAGAACTGTCAATCAAAGTTCACTCAGTTAAACAAGAGTGGGAATCAATAGACTTAGAAATAGCTTAAGTAATTACCAAATTCAATGCTCTTGAAATTTCAAAGTCAAAAGTGACAGGGTCTATAGGTAATATGAATGTTGCCATTAACAGGGATTTTCCTGTCAGTGATGTTAATAAACAGTAAGTCATATTTTGACAATAGAATATTTATGGATGCAATAAAGAGAACATTCACAGGAAGAATTTCATCTGCCAAAGACATATTTTCTGTAGAACTGCATCTGTGTACTCTGTACCAAGGCCAGCCTAACTGCCTTTTAATTATACCCTAAAGAAAAAATGAGTAAGAATTTTTACTTTTTAAATAAAGAATTAGAAGAATACTTACATTCTCTTACAGAAATTCAACTCCAAACTAGTTATGACCTTAAGAAGATTTGTAATGCTACAAAAAGCATGTGGATACATTTCTATGATCTTTGTACTTTCATCTTACTCTCTAAGAAACTAGGGTTATTATAGGCTGTGTTATTTTAGTTGGGTGGAAGCATTAGATGAATTATGTCAATACTAGGTTAGATTTCAGAGGCCTGCAGCTCACAACAGTAAACAGGGTAATGAGAGTAACTGTAATATCAACAGTACTAGAAGTCTTAAGTAGTAAAAGAGTTTCTTAAAAGTCACACATGAAACAGGTAAATGGTAGAGTCAAGATTCAAATCCAGGTCTGTCTTGATTCTAATGCATAAGCTGTTTTCACTATGTTTTACCATATCCACTTGACTCTAAAGAGGTTAGAGTTTGTTCCTCCAGAGATCACTAGCTTCTTCAAATACAACTAAAACTGGAACTAGGTCTGAGAAGGGTCAGGGAAATCTTTTCTTCTATGAAGAATCAATTCATTAATGTGCCACTATCACATCCATTAGCAAAGTCCATAACCTGTTAAAATTCCCAGGCAATTCCTGATTCCTGTATCTATGTGATTATAAAATAGAAAGATGAAGATGGTCTTATTGATAGCTAGCATAAAAACAGGGGGAGAAAGTTGAGAAAAGATCAAAAGAATGGCGTATCCTTCAGATGGCTGAAAATTCTGAAAATCTGAAACTAAGTTATCTGAGGGCAATAACTTAGTTGAAAATAAATTTGTTTCTTAAATTACACGAGTACCACATACTTTAGTTCAGCAGTAAATACAGCTTCAACTTATAATATCAAACCTTTACTATCTGCCACATTTCATCAAATCCAAACATCACTGATTATTAAAATACCTATGCACTACTAAGAAAGAAAAATGGAATTTAAAATACAACCATAAAATAAATCCTATGTACAAGTGTCAAAATGTGAAAAAACTGTTTTAGAACTGGAATGCTATGCTACACATTCACCAAGTACAAGATGGTGGATAGTGATGCTGATCTAGGCAAATATTTAAGAGACATAGATGTTCAGAGAGAGAGAATGCAGATAGAATTAGATCCTGATAATAGAAAAAATGTTCAAAGATAAGAATACTACATGTCAGAAATTACTTTAGGTAGGTATGGCTACTGAAATACAAATTTAGTTAAAGTAGGATTATGCTCATTAATGCTACCTACTGAACTAAAAAAATTCAAACAGGTATAATTAAGATGAACCATCTTAAGTGATACTAATAATTACTTACAAAGCTCAGGAGTTAAGGCTTACTCACTTAACAGGAGAGATAACAATATAGCCTAAATGCATACTATGTGAAGTTTTGGAAACTACAGAGGACAGAAAAAAATGTTTTAGTCTTCAATAAATTCTAACTTACAGTAGGAGGAAAAAAGACTAGTAAAGACTGAACACTATATTACATCCATATCTGATACACAGATAACAAGTTCAGGAACATTAAGAAAAATAAGATGATGGGAGAGAAATGAAAAGCAATTAGTATTTACTAAGCACTAAATAACTAAGGATTACAACTACTTTAGCATGACTTTACTAAATCTTTAGCAAGAAATGAAAATTTGAAAAAGAGTAGTTGAGCCTAAATGTTTCAAAGCAGGGAGAATGGAGTAAGAAAGATAATAAAGGGTGTCAAGCAGAAGGTAAAATAAAATTTCTTGGCCCAAGTATGAAGTTCAAATTATGAATGTGTGATGGATCAGGAAATTAGCAATAGGAACTCAGTAAGGTACCATTAAAGGACTCAAATTCAAATCAACAATTTTACTTTGATCTAAGAAGCAAATGGAAGTGATTCTGGGCTTCTGGGAAAAGAAATGATAAGATCAAAGGAATACTTGAGGGAGATACTCTTGGTAAGCAAGAATCTAAAAAACATGGTGATGGTCTGAAAAAGGGGGCTACAGACGAGTACAGCAAATTTTCATACTTGTTCTTAGTATAAAAAAATAGATAAACAGAAGAGATAAATTATGTGCCTTTCCCATGGCTGCTAGAAAGCAAAGAAATAAACCAACATTTCTTTTGATGAGAAATGTTAATAGATGTATGCCTGAGGGATGTATGGTGAAACTAGTTTTATTTAACATTATCACAAACCATCTGGAGATGGTGGTACTCAGTGAAATAAAGCAGTGCATTTTAACACTGTTTCACAAAAGGAGAATTACTAGTGTTTATTGTAAAATATTTCTCTATAATAGACCTACCCAATTTTACTTCTTAGTAACTTTCTCATTGTTGAGACACGTACAATTTAAAAGGAATGGTGGTGTATATTGGCTTACTGAATTTTCAGTCCATGGTTGACTGGCTTCATGCAGAAATGGCATGGCAGAAGGGCCTGGACAGAGGAAAGCTCCTCACATCATGGTGACCAGGAAGCAGAAGGAGAAAAGGAGAGCTGGGGAGGAAGATACAGCCTTAGTTCACGCCCCCAGAGACCTACCTCTTCTGACCATACACACCCCCACCACAGTAAGCCAGCTATAGTGTCCCCATAGTCCAAATATCTTCCAAAATCCTCCTTCTGAGCACATGTGTTTTTTTTTTTTTTTTTGGGGGGGGTCATTCTTGATTTTAACCACAACAATTTCCATCCTTCATTGTTATTTCATTCTAGACCTCTGTTTCACCTCTCATCCTCTATTCTTTCCCTGATTCCCATTAAGTTCAGAATTCACACCTGAGTGGTGGAAAGGTCAGGGGCAAGGCAAGGATGTCTGGTTTGCACATTACTTGGTACATGAAAAAGTCTTATACTTACTGGTTCGTTATAATTGGTATCTAAATAATGTTGAATAAAATGGCTCCTTTAAAGTAGTCATAAGCAGTGCCACATATCCACATTGTTTTAATGTGTAGATTTTCAGAAAATTAGTATGTGATTTGAGTGAAATTAAAGAAAACAAAACTGTTGTAATAAAAAGTTAACTTCAGGATCTTAAATATAGGAAAGGAAGTCTGGAATCAAGGTCAATTCTGTTAGAATTTAAAATTTGTAAAGGCATTATTTATATTTTACTTATCCTTTTGTCCTGTATTTAGCAAATGTTTACTGAATATTCATTGAATATGGAAATAAATTTAAAAATCACTATTTTATTTCTATTCAATGTCAAATCTAGATAAGAAGCCATCAGTCCTAAGAAATGTTGAGGTTAACAGTATTAATAAATAATGCATTTGGATAAATTCCTGAATTAATGTAGAATTCTTTCATGGGATTTATTTTTAAGAGGCTAAATGTATTTTGGATTTTCTCCAACCTTTAAAACATTATGTGATAAAGGACAACTACCAACAGGGGGCCTGATACAAAATGAAATTTCCTTTCTTATTATATATCTGAAACCCAACATAAGACATTATAGTGCTCCAAATCTGGATAATGAATTATGCAGAAATATTCAATTATTTTTGAAAGGAAGAAAAACTTCAACTAATGATTAACAAATAATTTTAGATGAGATTGAACACCTTCCTCTGTATTTCTTAGTATTTAAAATTTATTTCATTGCTCTTGTATGATCCTTATTCTCTGGTTTTCCCAGAAACTTCCCTGTTCCAATCACTTGAATAATTTCACCTCTTTCCCTTTTAGATAGAAACTAGAATTTCAGACAAGAAAAAATTTCAAAGAAGAATTCCCAAGCGCTGAACCTGACTGTGGAGAGCCGGCCCTAGACAGAGCCATTTTACCTCCATGCTGTTAGAAAGACATTTAGAATGAAGAAATCTTAAAATTTCATCTTAGAAATTTGAAAATATTAAAAAAGGTACTCAAATGTATTTGCAAAATGTATTACATATGTCCTGTGTAATGAATCTGATAGGAAAACAAATTTTTTTGCAAAAAGTCAGTGAATTTTAAATTTATAATAGTCACCAACTTAGAAAACTCAAATTTGGTAAATGGCAATACTGGGGTAAAAGGCCACAGGCTATTTAGTTATATAACCTGGAGGTCCTGTAATGGATGCCTCCCCAGTTCCCACATTATTGTTCAGAGAACTAGATCACTATATTTCTAAAAATGTCAAGTCTGCTTTTTTGTAGTGTAGACACAGTCCTATGAGGAACTGCTTGTAGGAAAAGTACCTGATTTTCTGATTAGGACACATGATTCTACTCACTCGCTCACTCTCTTTTTCTTTTCCTTTGGTTGTACTGGTGATGAAAGCCAAGATTGTTCTATACTGAGCTATATCCTCAGTCCTTTTTATTTTGAGACAGAATTTCATTAAGTTGCCCAGGCTGGCCTCCAACTTGCAATCCTCCTGCCTCTCTAGTAATGGACCTCAAGCTTGCAATCCTCCTGCCTCTCCAACAGTTGGCGTGACAAGCATGTACCACCATGCTTGGCTCAGCTCTATTCTCCAATTACTTAAAGGCACAAGTTTTTGAAGTATAGTCCACTCTGATACTCACTAAATTTTGAAGCCACTGTTTCAAGGCACCTGAAAGTTTTTCAGCATCTCCTAAAAATGGAAATCTTTTTCAATTTCAATACCAAATAAGTGGTCAGATAAAGAACATCGAAGTTCAGAGACTGGCTATGGACACCAGACATTGAGTAAGGTTCATCCGAAGCACATAAAATAGACAAAGCAAAACAAAACATCTGGAGATATACATTATAAAGAAATGAAGAATATTTTCAAACTTTATTGTATGAAAAATGCTTTTTATTTACTCATCACCAATATTTGAAATAAAAACTAGATTTCCATTAACAGGAGCCAATAGGTGATTATTTTTATCTTACATAACTCTATAGCTGAAGAATGTCTTCTTATTTTTAACACAGAAACAATATATTGCTTTAAAATCAAGATTTAAAAAAACATTCTAATAAAGAAATCGATTGGAAACAACAAAACACAGATTAGGTAACCAGCGACTGCATTGAAATAAATATACCACTCACATATTCCATTATGTAAATGAATTCAAAGATATTTCATGACTGATCAGCTAGAAGGGACATAATGATTTATAATTCAAATAACTGAGCACTGAAATCAAATTGAGCTAATATATATTTCTAAATATGCAAACCTCAAATAATTGTTAAAAAATATAAATCAATGTACCCATGTTGAAACCGTTTGTATCCCTCAGTTTAAAACACTATAGTCTTAAAACTTTTACCTAGTAAATTTTCTGAAAATATGATTTTTTTTAATTAAGTTTAGGAAGTGTTCAAAAGTAATAACAGCTTGTAAAATAAAAGATTAAAATATTTGGGTTAAAGAATATATAGTTGGTATAAAAATGATAGAAAAAGTATCTTAAATAGGACATACAAATACATTAGGTATTATGCAAATTATACTAAAAATAATACAAATCAAACTAATTTCATATTAAATAACAATTTCAACCTAAAAAATAGGATAAATCTAAACAATAGATATATACTATAAAATGACCAAGGCTTCTTTCCAGATAATGTGCACTCAAAGTAATTCATTGTGAAAAGGCCAGAGTTTGCAATACTAGAAGTACTTATAAACCACTTCATATGTTAGAAATAAAGAGTATTTCAGCATTATTATTAGAAAAAAATACAGGTCGAATTTTTTTTAATAAGAAATAATACATATCTTAAAAAGCCAAAATGACCACTGGAATTGGGTTGTACATCACTTTCCAGTAAAAAAGAAAAACAGCCTAGACAGGTGTAATTTATCATTTTTCTGATTTAATATCAAAGAAATATATTAAAATAATAAAAAGAATCCTGAAATCCTCAAAATTTGTAGTGATAAATAGCCCTCCCTGTCTTTATTGCATTATACCTACTAACAGAAATATTGCATGGTGGATTTTGCCAGACAAGGACGATTATTTTCCAATAAAAAGTTGCATATTAAATTCCAGCACAAAAGTGGGTGTCTAATACTTTGGAAATCTTTTATGGTTTGCCAAGGAACACAATTTTAAACTTAACTAATACAAACACATTCCTGGAATGAACCTACATTAAAGCCACCCATTTTCACAATTTGTCCTCATATTAAAATATCAGCTAATTTTAGTGGTTAACTAAATCAACATTTTTCACTGTATCTCTATATTTGATAGCTAACATCTCAAGACAATCACTATTGTTATTTCTTATCAACTATGATCTATTAAAAAAAATGATTTGTTTTTAGACTTCAAAAAATTTGGTAATGTGGAATATGAAATCTTGTTTTAGAGTGCATAAGATGTTGATTCAGTTATCCCAATAAGGAAAACTGTCAAATAGCTTATCATTTTCCCCCCATTATTCTTTTGTGCTTCTGAATTAGTGAAAATCATGTTCTTTTCAACAAAGGGAATACTAGAAATATACAGGGTCTGTCAAAACAATGTATACACACTTCAGGAAAAGAAAAATAGTATGATGTTTTTTCAACAGATGGTGTTACCCTCATGTGGAGGACCCTAGAGGATGTCTTATATCACAGAAATCCACTACACTGCTGGCCCTTAGAGAAGAAACTGAAAATTCATGTTCAGCAACCTTAATGACCAAGGTTACACAAATAGCAGTTTGCCATACTAATAAATGTCTGGAACTAATGGCCATCACTTTGAGCACCTCTTGTAATTGTAGAGGCCCAAGTTAACTTGTACTATATCATAATGTCTCAATAAATTTAATATTAAAGTATTTATACATGTTTTTCTTTTCCTGAAGTGTGTATACTTTTTGGTGGACTCTGTATGTGCTCTTAGGCATTCAGTTTTATAAAGTATTATTTTTACAGTACTTGGACCTTCTTAAAATTAGTTACTTGCTTTCTTTTAGAAAAAATTTCTGACAATTATGAAAAACCATGGACTATTACACGTAGTTGCATATTTTCTTATATAACCATGTATTAACTTGGTTGAGTATAAATAAAGTAGTTAAGAACCTATATATCCACATAAATTCAGTTATGACTTTGACTAAATGCTTCACAGTATACAATTGTTATAAGGCTTTCAAAACCTGTTGTGAACCTTTTAAAAACAAGCATTTATAATAAGCCTAAATGAAAAGACTCAACAATGTCCTTGTTAAGTTGTTAATATATAGTATCAGATATACAGTGAAAAGGATATCCAACAGAAAGATCATTTAGGAACTGAAGAGTCCTTGAAATTACAGGCTCACATCTTCCCCAGTATTTAAGGTTTGTAACACTAAATATAAAACAAAAGTTTTAAATAATAAGGTACTTGCTTATGTAGGGAGAATGACAGAAATACATATATAGTTACATAAGTTAGATGTCCTAAATAGCAAAATGAAAAGCAGGCTCACATTCCAATGGGACACTTCTTTTCAAAATTTTATACAATCTACAATATATACTGCTTTTTAAGTGCTGCATAATTCTGTAACATAGTTGTATAAATTAAAAAGTTTAAGGTTTAACATATTAAGAAATATTAAGTTTGTAACCAAGTGAAAGCAGGCGTTACAGAGGAAGTCAAACAGAAGCTCACAGTTACTGCCAAAAAGAACCATCAAACTGTGACTCCAAAACTCACTTCTCATGATTGTATATCTAGCTTTTTTCCTGTAATCAAGATAGTGCTATCTATTAAACAAATAGGCTGTTTCCAAATGCAAATTTAGGGTAAATATACAAAGTTATATCTATGACTAAAAATCAGCTAGTACTGTAAGTATAACTTAAGGACATTTCCCATAAATATCTCTCTGACAGTCAAAGGTTCCTGTTGGAACAATAAATATCTTGTCTCAAGGCAGTCAGACTTCTCTCAATAATTCTCACTTCACACACTATTCAGTTGGTCTCTAAAATTAAGCATTTTCTTTTTAATTAAAAAAAAGGCTGCCTGACTGACCTGAGGAGTCAACATCTATAAATCCTGTAAAATCATCTTCTGATACTGAACACTACAGGTACATGGATATCTTGATAAATTAAAATGTTCTTTGGATGGCAAGTTTTAAATATGTGAAATTAAGTTTTAACTTAGAACAATGTTAACATCCTAAGAATTAAAGCAACATTTTAAAATGTTGTAAAGAGTTAATATCTGTAAAAAATTTAAAGAGGATTAGATTTAAAACATCAGAAGGAAAAATTCAAAACTACAGTAGAAACTCACATTTTTGTCATGAATGTTTCCAGAACATGGTTGTCATCTGTTATTCCTAAGATTTCTGACATACGGGCATATACCTGCATGAGAAAATTGTATTGTTAAAATTTTTCTTATTAACATATACTTTCAAAAGACTATTCAAATTGAACAAATTAAGATTTAAAGCACTGTTACATCCACATCGAAACAGGGAGTACAAGGAGTAAATGAAAGATTTAAACTTTCTTTATAATTTTAAAATTTATTAACTTTCCTTCCCAGAAGTACTTTTCCTGTTTGAAATATAAACATACACAAACATACTCACACACCCATTTTAACTCCAATTATACCACGTAATGTTTTTTCCACTCAAGGTGGTAACTCACCCCTGCAAAAAGCTGGAAAGTGGAGTCCCTTAACAAAAGGTTGCAATATTTAAAGATCTTTTCGTATATGCTAGATTTCAATAAAATGTTAACTAATTCAAGCGAATGTAAGGCAGTTATAAAAACAAAGATCCAAAATTCAAGATAAATTAAAGAATTTATAGAAATTCTTCTCACATACCCCCTAGTAATGTTCCCCCCAAATGTAGAGGTAGGTCTTACTTTCAACGCTGAAACTGAAATCCCAAGCTCAGGGATTCTCTGTTGAAAACATCAGGCCATGGGAATCCACTAAGCTTCCAATTAGGGATTGTTGGTTGCACAGTTTGGGGTGCAGTATTTCAGTCTCAACCCAAGCCTCAGTAGACTTAAGAACACATATCCCATTTCAAGTGGGAAAATGCTACCAGCAGCCAATGGAACATTCCCTAGCAGCCTGGCAAAGCTGAGAGGTGGGATGACACCTCTACTCCCTGATGCTCTGGTGTGATTTCAGGTCATCCTTGCCAGACACCAGCTGTAAGGGATTTCTCCTATGTGATTTCACATGATTGTGCTTTCTCACCTTCTCCTGATTTACTTATTCCCTAAGTATGGCAACTGAACCTCTACTCCTTGCTCTTTGCTCATATTTAAATACTAACCTGATATTCTGCCAGAAGTCACAATGGTAAGATAAAAATTGTAAGACATCACCCAGAGTTATAGGGTCATACAGAGAAGGGAGGCTGTTCCTTGGAGAAATCATTTAGGTTTTTCTTGGAATTTTTTTATTAGTATACATTTGTTACACATAATAAATATATTTTTTGGTGGAGAATTCATACATAAATACATCAAATCTTGATCCTGTTTATTTCTCCTTTCCCTCTCCCTATCCCCAGATTTTAAACACTATTTGAATCAGAAGCTTGTGTTCCAGCTTTCAACATGAGTCCTATGTCTGGAAGGCTCTTCAGGTTTGGAGGGTGAATAAGAGGAAGAGGATGGGAGAGAAGGAGGGAATGGTAGCGGGGGATAGAAGGAAGGAGGGGGTAGAATGGTGAAGAGAAACAGGGAAAATAGGAAGACTGACATTCAAATTTCTCTTGCCTCTTCTGCTAACTCCCAAGCCCTACAGAAAAGCCTTCCAGTGACTATCTGTAACTTTGCCCATGGGAGCAGGTCTTCATCTCTTGAAAGAGTGAAATGATCACTGTGGCTCCTAAGGAGTCTGGGGCAAAAGTGGAGCTTGGGAAAGGGAACTTACCCACCAATCCTCAGTGATCAGAAACCTTTAAGTATAACGAGGGCTCAGGAGAAGAATGACACGTAGAAAGAGAAGTTTCTTTAGTTCACCAGGATGCAAAACCTCTCATGGATTGGAGTATTAGTATTGGGACCCTTGGAAAATGTGATATTGATATATTTTATGGCACACAAAGTCCTTCACAACTTTCCCCAACCTTTTCCCTCAATTTCAAGCCACAATGAAATACTAAAGGATCACCAAGACTTCTCATTCAATTTCAGATCTCTAAAAGTGCTCATATAGTCTCCATTTTGTCTGAATCAGTCTTCGTTCTCTTCTCTTGATTGCCACTCAAAGCCACGTCTAGAGGACTATCTAGCTTTCTCAGGCAGTATGTGCTGCATTCTCCTCTATGTTCCCATAACATCTGATCCCTCCACCTCCCCAACTACACGCCGAGAGCTCCTTGATGGTCGATACTGTGTCTTACTCTTCATGTTCCAACATCTAAGATGGTATTTGTCAAGTTACTACTACTTGTGTGTTTCATGTGTAATAGCAAAAATCATGGCCTGGATCCAGATTATATAGGATTATATGATAATGTGCGTAATAAGCAATGAAAAATGAAGGATTTTTCCTATTATGCATACACTGGACTCTATAGACAAAAAATGAGAATCATAAATTACAAGTGAAAAAGAAAAGCAGTTACAAAGAACAGCTTATATTATTTTAACCTGTGAATATCTAGTAATTGATTACTATGGTTATTTTTAAACTTTATTTTAACACCCTTGTCCAATAAGGTCTTTCAATAAATCTAGTTTATAAAATCAGACAATACTGAGGGCCTGACACACTACTGCCTCTCTTCCTCTGTCCACTTTGCTCTTTTCCATAGCCACAGACTGTGCCCTTAACTCCAACTGAATTTTAAAGGCACTTTCATTTAATGAAGATGAAAACACGAACGGGTATGTTTTAAACTAGCCTTGCCACAAGTCAAAGCACAAATTCTCATAAAAGTACATACAGAATCATCTTTATAGTTAAATAAAATTAACCATAAATTCCATGTTTTCAAATATCGATTTCTGGAAAGAATATGATCATGTCATTATCTCAACTGGCTTACCTTGCTTTATTTTATAATCTCTGTTATCTCCTATGACTATAATATACTTTTGTAAAACCAAATTTTACACTGTCAGACTACAAAAGCTACCCTTTTAAGGGAAAACTCAGAATTAATTCAAATTCATTTTAACTGTGCCATATTAAATAATAAAAATACAATAATTAAAATGTGATTTTTAACATTTAAAACATTTTCTTCAAAAATATATCTTTCAAAATTGATGGTTCCTACTAGGAGAAATTTTTCTGTTGTGACCCTAGCTTTAAAAAGAGGGGGAAACTAGGCAGGCAGGTCTGTTGTGCTTTGCTGTCAAAACAGTTTCTTAAAGCATCAGATCTGAACCAATAATATACTTTAAAAAACAGACAACATTGACACATGGCAGTGCTTTAATCCACAATTATCCTTGTAACTCCCACCATTCCTTTTATCATCCATTAGCTTTGATTCCCATTATCCCATCTAGAAGTGTGTCAACGCTTTTGTCCTTGGGGATTTCTCCCCACTACCAGGATCTGACAGTCAAGCTTGAGTACTAAACAGGATCATTACCTCTTAAATCCACTTATCTGATCTACTGAATAGCAAATTGAAAAGCTCATTAAGAGCAACAATCTGATTTGTTTTCTCCTGTGACACAGTCACTTAAAATCAATGTATGATTACAGCATTTCTTTTAAAAGACTCACATTTTCCTAGGTACCCTTTTCTTCAGTAAACATGCAGATAATATGAAAATGTCTCCTAATATTTGAAATTTAATTATCCCACAGATATAGATAATCTGAAGGTGGGAAGTAATGTGTTTGGTGAAGAAATATCCACAAAATTGCTTATCATAAACCACAAGTCAAAGAAAACTTTCTAGAGAAAGCAATTCTAACACAACAGAGTTTGTGATACTTTTCTGCATCTTTTATTATTTGCCAAAGATGTTTTTATGATACCAAGGAAGAATGACATCACAGTAACCATTTGAAGGAAGCACACAGGAATTGCCACAGGGACTCAAGAACTCACTCTCAGTTCACAGATTTGTAACCTTTAATTTCAGAATCTATTAAGATAATTTGGTCATAATAAAATCTAGGTAAAAAAAATCTAAGGAGTATGAGACTAAGCCATTAGTCATTCTTCAGAGAAGGGAGGACAATAGATGATATTAGGTAAATGGTTATCCCTTTGGTTATATATTTCACTTAGTCTGAGTTGTACACATTATAACCAAGTTTGTGCCTGCTTCACTTCAGCTCTGCCCCCTCCTTGTCTTCTCTTTTAACATATCTAGTTTCCCTGTCAACAGATACAATATTCTCTCTTTTATCTCAACCATGCATATTACTTAATAAATGTTTGTTAAATGAATAAAAATAATGTTAAAGTATGTATTTTGACCAATCATTTCATTTGTAACTTTTTTTTTTTGGTTTTTCTCCGGTACCGGGAACCGAACTCACGACCTTGCGCATGCCAGGCAGGCGCTTTTGCCGCTGAGCTAAATCCCCAGCCCCAATTTGTAACATTTTTAACTAAAGAAAAACAATCTGTAAAGCCATGCTTTTCTTGTTTTATAAAAGGTATAGTTTTTAATGCTATAAGATGTATTTAATATATTTGTGGAGAAAGCTCTCCCTGCAGATTCAGTAAGAACTTTCTTTCTTTAAATCTTTCTTTAGTGAACCCCTTGTTGCAAAATATGATCTTCCTTATATTAATTTTCCATGTAAATATATGTTTCCTCCACAATATCAAGCATTTGCTCCTGGAGGGCAGGGTAAGTATCTATTTCCACAGCACTTACAACACTGTTTGATAAATTTAACAAAGGAGAAAAAGTATAGATTTTGGTTCCAAAGATAACTAGATTTGAATTCTGGATCTGCCACCAAGTAAATGTTACTAAAAGTCTCTGAATCTTGGTTTCTTATTGGTAAAACAAGAATGATGATGATGATGGTGACAATGACAATGTTGATAATAATACCTACTTTATATGTTTTGGGGAAGATTAAACAATGACCCCTACTCAGAGCTTGGCATTTAGTGCTTGTTTTCCTTGCTATCTTCTTTCATGGACTTCGTGAATATTTGGTGCTAAAATTATTGCTAATACCTTTTCAAGAGAAGGCTCTTCACACAAAAAATAACAGATAAGTAGGAGCTTTTCTTGGAGATTTCTGGACAACAAAAACCTTGAAATTTGCATTAATAACTCTGAAATTTTTAAGTATATGTCAGGGATTGTATCTGTCAAAGGCATAATGCAACTTCTTCAAAATTTCACAATAAAAACCCAAATCCTTTCCAATTCTAAATCATTATTGCCTTAGAAGTAGAAAAATTACCCACTTTAATGTTCTTTGCACCTATCTCTTTCTAGCTCTTTAAATACTGGAAGCTGTTAGAAATATAAGAAATTGTCATTATTACAGGGTTAAAAAAAACATAGCTCCTAAAAAAACTGTTTTCATTTGCTTGTTTTCTTATCCCTATTTATTGTACTGCAAACACTCTTCTAAATTTCAGAAAAGAGCATTTATATATGTATATAATATTTCAATGATCCAATACATTTTCTAACTTCTCAACTAATCAAATGACAAGCATTGCCTCTGTATTTGCTGGCAGCTTCAATGATCTTATATGTGGTTTTTAAAGGGAATCAAAGCCAGACAAGGGAATAAACATGTAAACAGTAACAAGATTCTGAGTTGTAATTTTAACTTGATAATGAATGAAAGCATGTATTATGATAATTTTAGAATTGCTTTCTTTTTCCAGTCTTACTCCTTGGTCTTGGGTATATGCAGAATTGTCTCTAACATTCTGGTTATAACTTTAAAGAAACTAATTATGTCAATTCTTAAAATTGAAGTAGATTATAGAACTGGGAAACCCAGAATATTAGTTCCTAAAGGTTGTATGGATATATAATGACAGTCACAGAAATTCAATAACAGCCCTCTATGAAATGTACTCAAAAGCACCCCATGAAACAAATTAAAAAGAACAATGAATCTCTTATTCTGTGCAAATAAGAAAATAAGAGAAGACGCTAATTCTATAGGCTTTCATAATAGCTATTATAATGAATTAAGATTTTGGATAACGAATTTTCAGAAAATTGCCGTATGTTAATATCCTTAGGCCTTCTATAAATGTTTAAGATGTTATAATTTCTCAAAGAGCTTTAGTATATGGTAAGCAGGCTCCATACAGAAAATTAAGAATGCTGTTGAAATCAACAACATTCTTCCATAAAATATGAATTTTCTCTGAGCCAATTTCTGCTCAAAAACTCATACCAAATAATACAGAAACCGGTATAACAACTACCTCAAATTGTTGTGAATTTTAAAGTATTGTTTCAACTTACTTAAATGATTTACTAATTAAGGTTTTAAACTAGTTATGATTTGGAAAAACAAACCTGTCACAGGAAAGGTTACATTATAGTGAAAAAATTTCTATTCTTTAGTAAGAAAATTTCAAAATTGAACTTGAAGGCACTTATGAAAAAGAAAGCAATTTTCAAATTTTCATTTTGGGTTTCAAGGTCCTTTGAGGTCAATTCAGTACTTTCCATAAGGAAGATCCCATCAAAATAGAAGATGCAGGTAGCAGAGAAAGAAGGAGGGGTACAAGAAGGAAGAGGGAGCACTAATGACTTGGATCTAAACTATATGGAAGACCTGAACTCTTTCATTTACGTATGAGGCAGACTAAAGCATGACCATTGCAAGTAACTTACCACCACATCAAAAGAATTAATGGTACAAACATCACTGCTGCATATTAAATACACAATGATAATGAGTAGATTAACAGTAATCTTACCTATTTTTCCATATCATTAAAAATAACATCACTAAACACAAGACTGAAATAAGACAAACTTTTGCCAGAATTTAATTTGAAAACCTAAATTCGTATTAGAAACTATGTGGTAAAAGGCAAGGGATCTGCTTGCCATATTCAGTAGAATATAGAATGGCATCTGATAAAGAAAAGCTGGCTCTGGACGCATAAAATATGTTAAATTTTCATTTCAATTAGAATATTGAGCCCACCATCTGTGGTGGCCATCTTGCTAAGGGGACATATACCTAACAAATCTCTTAAGAGGCATTCCTAATCTGTTTGAATTAGCTATTGTATAAGAAAACTTGGAGCGTCCAGTTTGGCCTCACATTTCCTTCGCTCCACATCCTGTGGCACAAAGCATGAACTCAGCAGGCCAGGGTGCAGGGCTGCCTGCTGCTTGTGATAATCCCCTCTCCCAGTAGGGGCCTCCACTGATGCATGGCTAAGAACATGTTTCCTCTTTTGCTTGCACCCCAGTGGGGTTTCCATTCCTGACTTGGGCCCAAATCCAGACTGCTAAGGAAGGTGGAAAAGTTAGAAAGCTCCAGACGCTGCCAGATACATTTCTGGATTAGTTTGTAAACAATCACTAATTAGAAAGAGAAATATAGGTGTAGTGTGAAAACCAGGAAGACTGGTAATTTTGGAGATTCTTTTCCTCCCACCTCCAGCCAGATCTAAGGTCTAACTACCACCTGTTCAACAGAAGCTGGCTGTTTGCCTCACTTTCCTTCAGGGAGCCACTGACTAAGAATCTTCACCAGCATGAACCTAATGCCTCCCGACAGGCCTTCACTAGCCAAGAGGGACCTGGGTCGAGTGCACCAGTTATTGGTCACAGGATACACAGCCCACAGAAAGACTCCTGTGGTGCAACCAGCTGAAAGCCAACCAGAGAAGATGGAGAGTGTACATTTGTCTTGACACAGCTTTGCTCATGCTGGCTGCCAACTCACTCCATGTCTTGGGCCAAGCTTCTGTTAAACTAGTCTTCTGTGGATAAAGCCATGGTTTAGCCCTCGATATATATATATTATCTTCCCAAGGCCATTCAAAAAGAAGGTACCATGGCTACAGCACAAGACTACAGGAAAAAGGCTTGACTGTTTTTGAGAGCTTGATTTGAAGGTGCATTTATAATTCTTTATAATAGCAAATTTACAAGACAATATGATTAGATTTTAGAATAAAATAGTTGACCCTCGGTGAACAACATAAGATGGTGATGGCAGAGGTGGGGAATGGACAATAAAATATCCTACTTACTCTAATACTCCATACCTTTTGAAGTTGTCAGAGAGAAACATTTTCTGGCACAAAGGACACAAATGTTTTGGACAGCACCAATAACTAGCTATATACAACTTTACCCTTTCAGGTATGAATATGTGATTAGAATTGGCCACTCAAAAATGTTATAAATAAGAAACCTTGGCTAGGGCTGTGGGTGTAGCTCAGTGGCACAAGAGCCTGCCTGGCAAGTGCAAGGTCCTGAGTTCAATTCCCGGTACCAAAAAAGAAAAAAAAGAAGAAGAAACCTTGGTTGCTTTTCACATGATACAATTATTAGAGTCTCTGCAGTAATAGTGCTTATAAGCTATTGAATACTCAGCTGTAAAACATGCACACTGTAGGACTACATAGTGTACAACAAAGGGAATCAAGCAGGGCACCCTACACTTATCATTGTGCTTGTGCCTATTTTAGTAACAAGAATATGGGGTGTAGTGAGACAAGCATAAAGACTGATGCTTCACCACCATAACCAGTACCTCAACTCACCTTAACTATTTTCCAAGCCTTCTCTGGAACTCTGGATACATCACTCCTCAGGCGTACAACCTAAAAAGCACAGAATTTAAAGACCTAACACCTGATGCCAGGGATAAGAGAAGACCAAAAGGCCTTCCCAACCTCACACACAGGGAAAAAGTAGCTCAAGATTTATTTGGCTGTCACTTAAAATATGCTTAGGTCTTTGATTTTTTTCCTGGAGCCTGCGAGCAGAGGGATAGTGAAGTTCTGCACAAACTCTGGATATGGTTATATGAATTACAATAGGTTTGCTTCAATGTAATAATTTAAGAGACCAATTACTAAAGGCTATCTCTAAAAAATAACAAATCATAAATAATATTTGGCAAGACTATTTTTAAGAATGCCTCAATACTGTTGTTTTTCATGACACACATTACACAAATATGGCTAGTGAAACTAAGTAGGCCAAGTCATCTTCTGATGGGCAAAAATGCACCTTAAAACAAACTCATTTCTACAGTCACTCGGAAGGTAAGTAAATCATATTTAATATTCCATCACTTAATCTCATTCTTGTATATACACACTCAACCAAACCCTCTGTAAAGGCACTGCAAACTATAGCCATGGTGGATATATTAAAATCATTACCAGGTTTCTATTTGTATTTTTAGCGTGTTTATCTTAATTATGCATGTTTCCTATTAACTATTTGTTTCCACATAGACTCTCTAAAATCAGGTCCCATTTCCTGTATGTACAACAACTTCTCTATCTTCCTCGCAAAGATATTTAACTCTTTATCCCTCTGAGAAGAAAAATGTGGTATGAAGTAGAGAAATAATGGCTCAAGGAATGAAAACTGGGTGTCAGTGACATTTATATTTTTATTACTCTGCCAAATCCACTATTTTCATTATATTCTTAAATTTTACTAAAAACAATTCCTTTCTGCCATTTGGTTTCTCTTTCACACTAGTCTAATTAATGAAACTTTAACTTACCCAAATGCAATGAAACAGTTCACCTTCTAATGGCCCAGTAACTCCCTCAAATACTAATATCTGGTTTTAACTCAGTGCAGGCAATATTTGTAGTAAAAGGCTAAATCTTGTTTCCATCTTAGTCTTTTATTTTGAAAATTTGCTAAAACGTATGCAGAAGCCAAGAGGTAGACCAAGACAATATATGGAAATACCATATTCAGGAAGCATATTCTCTTATTAAGAAAACAGGAAGGAGCAAATTTATTGAGTATATATTTTAGGTAACTTCAGCTAGGAGAAACACAATGTAATGCGTAGTGTAATGCACATGAAGTTTTGAGTGAGACTCCGTCACCTGCTAACCTGGCACAGTGTGTGGCAGATAACAATCACTCTATATTTTTATTTCATGAATTAATTCTATTAACTCAAACTATTTAGTCTCTCAGAGACTCAAGTTCTTCATCTGTATGACAGAAAGAATAGCTAAATAAAGGAAATTATCACTATGAGGTATTCTATGAGGTAGCTGGGGCTAGATTCTGATGCCTAAGACTAGGGGAGTCTGCCACTTACTAAGTGATTCTGAGTAAGCTGATTACTCTTTAAACATCAGCTTCCTAAAATGTAAAATGAGGATGATAGTAGGACTTAATTTATGAAGTTTTTGAAAGGATGAAAACAGTTAATTTATGTAGAACAGCCCAGGCCCATAGTAATATTTCTCCAAGTGTGCGCTATTGCTATTATTGGCATGTGCCAAGATGACGGTCCTTTTTTCTACTTTATCTGGATTAAATGCTAGAAAATAGATATATTTTCTAAATTGCTATGTAAATAGCTTTAGTAATGGTTAAAAAGAATGGTTTGAAGGGAGAGAGCTCTAATGAAAGGTAGCAATACTCCTAATTTATATAATGAATCTAGTCTTTCAGCATTCCAAAAAGATATAAATAGGATCAAGAAAAGCAACGGGAAAGAGGATGAGAAGAAAACAATGGGTTGTGGTACCTGGTGATGTTTATCTCAAGGACTCATTTGTATCACTTAAGTTTCCAATTTTAAAACCCTCATCCTTATCTTTTGAGTCATCATAAGTCCCTGTTTCACATATTTCTGGTAAATTTTCAAGATGATTTACACTGCTATGTCCAATACATTACCATCTTTCCAGTTCACACTAATGAGCTCAGTCAATCCAATTCTCCAAGTTTTTCAAAAAACCAAATGCACAGGCAAGCGGTTCCAGAACGTCATTAGAGTTTTAAATTATTAAAAGATTGTGTGTGTGTGTGTGTGTGTGTGTGTGTGTGTGTGTGTGTGTGTGTGTGATGGGCCACCCAAAGGGCATTCTTTCATAGTAAGAACAGACAAGGCCTACCTTCTTACAGAAATACAATATTACTAATCTCTGACTATGGGCTCTGTGTACTGCTCTATTATGGAATGAATTATATCAAACATCTAGGATCCAGCTTAGTTATCTTGTGACTGATGGCTAACTAGGACTAGAAGTCCAATCTGTGTGGCAGAAATGAGCTTTTTTTTCCCTTGGGAAATAACACTAATATAGGGATGAAAGTTTTGAGGTTGGTCTTATTAGTCATCACACTCTGAAAGTGATCATGACTGAACTCATGTCTAAATACATACATACATGGGCACTATGATATAGTAGGAAGCAAACAGGATATAGAGTAGGATGATTTTCAAGTTCTGCCACTGAACAAGTTTTTAAGTTTTCTGTAATTCTGTTTTTTGTTCTATATTCTGTAAAATGAAGATAATCAAACCTGCTAAGTAGAAGATTGTTGAGAAAACTAAATGAGAAAAAGAAATAACTCAGCAAAATGGTTAAAGAAAAAGTAGAAATCCAATACAGATTAGATTAAGGTTGAAGATAAACTCCATTGTACATGTTTCATATTTATCGTTTTATGTTACCTGAAAAAAAAAATTCAAACTTATAGCATGGGTATTTCAATACCCAATGTCTTATACTTTAAGAAGTCCAAAGAATATCATGTTTCAGGCAACTGTACCTCTTGGCAGGTGTGGTTATTAAAGTCTATGTCTCATAAACACAAATGGTCAGATAAAAGTGGTGCAATTGCAAACTTGCACCACTAAGCTGGAAACATTTCTGAGGAGTCAGCAAAATGGACCAAGAGGGAGCATGGAAGAAGCTGGCCACAAAAACCTGGAGATAGGAAAAGACAGTAAGTGGCCAAAAGACTAAAAGAAAGGAGTAGTCTAGGGTGAAAGAAGGAAAACAAAACAAAACAAAACAACTTAAGAACTACAATTCTCACCGAATGAAAGCCATTAGTGTACTAAGGTATTTGTTACATTTCAGCATTTTCTATTATTGTATAATTTTTCTCCTAAAAAGTACCCAACCAAACTTACTGGGTGTGAGAAATTTTCCATGAAAATGTATTTCCAATTTTGGAATGGAAACCCATCTGAAAATATAATTCACAATGGAGAAAACTTGTTTAAAAGCCAACTTGGTTAAACACATCTATTCAGTAAACGAAGGGATAGTGGCGCCTGGGAGCCACTCAGGCCTAGGGGAAAGCAAAATCTCAATAAGTATGCCAAATGCGCTTTTATATTTCAAGACTCCTTCAACAGAAACACTATGGGAAAATAAAAATTAGGAAAACACTGAACTTAACTAATTTAAATGCTGAAAAAATTTTTTACATTTATGTTTTATTACCAAGTACTTTTCCCACATTTGTCCCAAGGCAGCAGATGAAGCGCTATAGTCACCATTGCTAATACTAGCAATTGGAACATGCTCTTTGGCAAGGCAGAAATAAGATAATTGTTCAATATAGGCTGGCTTTTCAGAAATACTGGAAGCACTGCCTGTAATTATAGACATCTGTCACTGCTAGCCACTCAGTACTAACCCTGACATCAATATACAACCATAGCACTAAACTGCCTGCAGGCATAGCAATGGAGACCAGATACGCTAGGCAGGCAATCATCTGCTTCATCCAAACTATCTGTCAAAGGTTCCCAACCACAAATAGCTCTTACATTTTGTATCCTTAGGATAATATGTTGATTTATTTTAGATTCTCTAATATTTACAGTCTAAGGCATCTACTGAAATAAAGAAACAAAACTTATGGCTAATGGAGGCAGTTACTGTTCACAGTCATCATAAAAGGTCATAGCTCAACCCTCAAATGTTAAAAATTGATGGCAGCTTTAACCATGCACTATCATACAGATGTTTCCTTTTGTAGAGGCAATTATTTTCAATAGCAATTCAAAATGGTAAATACAATCTTTCATCAGGCAGTATGTTGCCACATGATCTAATAGAAATGCTCATATTTTAAACCTTTTTTTGAGATGTAAAGATAAGTTTCAACACTGAGTACAGGACAATCCAGACTGTCAGTCTGGATTTAGCTTTACATATAGTATGTTATCTGGCAATATTTTTACATATACAAATAATGTGATGTCTAAAAACTAGGAAATGATATTGAAGGATAAAATCTTTGGTTAATGAATGAGTCAACTGACATAATCTTCTTGGGTGTAAAACTTACTGAAATGTACGTGCACCTTCATATTTTTAAAAGTCCTGAGACAAAACTGTAGTTTTAAATCACTCTCTCTTCCAGCAAATAAACTGAAAATTATAAAACATTTAGACTAACTAAGAATAAAGACTCACAATTATCATAATGTGTGCTAAAAAGCCAGATATTTCTTGGTCTGATCACAACAGCCTATGCTGAAGAAAAACTATTAATTACTGACAGACAGTTAGCTTACAAGTGAGCTGCATTTTAAAAACCTCCTTTAAAATACAATTGCTAAATGCCTTACAGTGCTGTAATGTGAGACAGGTTCAAATCTTATTACTTCACTGAAATTAAAACCTAAGTTTTAATACTGTTCAAGTCGAACAATGATTCCACACTTTATTGCTTTTGAAATCCCTTGATGATCATAGGAAAAAATGCCCCGGAGAAAAAAAGACTGTTTTCGATAAACAGAAAATACAGTTTGCACTCTTAGCCTCTTTGTCATCACAAAAAAAGGATTTAATGCCAATTCTTTAAA